ACACTCTAGGACAGGGTAGAACTGTCCCTGGGGGGTTTCAGAGACTGGGACTATTTACTTGAGTCGAAAGCTTCATTCTTCTCCTGGGAAGCACCTGGCGGTTTTGAACCGCTGATCTTGTGATTAGCAGCCCAGCGCAAACCACAATATCAGCAGGGGTCCTTACATCCTAGTGAGTGTACTAAAACCCACAGAACTATCCACTTGGACATGGTGACTTCTGTTACATGGAAGTACTCGCCCATTTTATTAATGCCATAAACATTGAGGCAGGACAGTATGTGGCACAGCAAAGCAGGAGAGGCCCTGTACCACCCAGCAGGCACCACCTGCCCTGTCCCTGGGAGAGGCTGGACTGGTGGTGTGGTGGGTTAGGTGCCGGGCTGCTGACTGCAAGCCAGCAGTCGGAAACCACCAGCTGCTCCACGGGAGAAACGAGGGCTTTCCATTCCCGTAAAGTGACAGCCTTGGAAACCCACGCGGGCACTTCTGCCCTGTCCTTTAGACTCCTTAGGGGTCAGACTGGACTTTCTGGCATTAAGGGGTTTTGTGTGTGGAGAAAGCAGGACTCGGCATGCAGAGACCCTGCAAGGGCCCTTGGAGAGGGGTCTGTATGGGCGGACAGGGCCAGCCCATGGGCCTGAGAGGGCATGCTGGGGAGTTGGGGCACAGAGCTGGCAGAGGGGCACCTATCCTTAAGTGGAGGGTAGGTGGCCCTGGTGGAGGTCCCAGGAAGCAAGGAGTCCTACCTTGCTGGTGGATAGACCCTCTCCCCTCGGCACACATGGCTCAGGCTCCCACAGAAAACAGGTCCACCCAAGAAAGGGCTCCACACAAGTGCCCCCGCAGGCACTGAGCTCAGCAGCCTGGCGGGGGTGGGGGGTGGGGTGGGCAGTGGTTGCTCCCTTGGTCACTAAGCTCAGCAGCCTGGTGGGGCGGGGGAGCCGGGAGCCTGGGAGTGAGGCAGCGCCCTCCTGCCATCCCCATGCCTGCAGGCTTTCTGCCCACGCTGGGCCCCGCCTGGGTGAACATGTACGGCTCCACACGGAACTACACCCTGCTGGATGAGCACCAGGACCTGAACGAGGGCCTGGGAGAGGGCGTGTCCTTCCGCGCCCGCCTCATGCTGGGCCTGGCCGTGGAGATCCTGGACACCTCCAACCCCGAGCTCACCAACTCCACGGAGGTGCAGCTGGAGCAGGCCACACCCGTCTCAGAGGTGGGAGCCCAGGGGCTGTGCTCAGGCCCCATCTCCTTGGGACAGCAGGGTCCTGTCCACCGCAGGGGGCCAGGCCACACAGGGTGAGGCTTCCTCCCCTGCGAAGCAGAGGCCCCACCACTCGGCCCCTCAGCAGGATCCTTTGGTCCCCTTCCATGGCCTGGGCCTGTGCTGGGCCTGGAGGTCCCAAGATAGTGACCAGGAGCCCAGACGGCCCTGGCCCTGTCTCCAGCCGTGGCTGTCCCCGTGGTGTGCAGAGCCAGGTCCTTCTTGCAGGGACACCCAGGCTGGAGGGCAAAGGGAACTGGACGCCCTCTATCCCCAGGCCAAAGGGCTTGTTCCTGAGAGGGCAGAAGGGGGTCGGGTCCCAGACGCCCCCATCCCACTGAGGCTTAGCGCTGGCTGGGACCCCCTCCCCACAGAGCTGCACGGGGAAAATGGAAGAGTTCTTTCTGTTTGGAGCCTTCCTGGAGGCCTCCATGGTGGACAGGAAAAACGGAGACAAGTCAATCACCTTTGAGGTCACCATCGGTGAGTGCTGGCCTCCCAGGGGGGCTGGGGGCTGGGGGTGCAGTTCTATCCTGCACCACAGCCCAGGGGGCTAGGAACGTGTTCGCTTCTTTCCTGGATGCCCACAGAGCCCCACCCAGCCCTGGTGTACCAGGAGCTGGCACGCCCGCTCCACCCACAGGGCCCGGGTGGGCTGTCAGGAAGAAAGAGGGCGTCCCTGCAGAGGGGTTGCGGGGAGGACCCTAGGGGGGCGCTGGGGAGTCGAGAGTGTGATCAGGCCCTGCCGGGGCCCCTAGGGCGACCTCCGCAGGTGGTGGGGCCATGGGAGCTTCTCCAGCTAGAGTCCCACCAGGCCTGAGCCGGCACAGACCCCAGACCCCGCCCGATGTACCCTCTTCCCTCCTGTAAATGCAGCTGACCAGGGAGGTGGGCCTGGCAGGGACAGGGCTGCGGGCCCACCCACCTGTGTGCCCACCTTCTGCCTCCAGGCAACTATGGCAATGAAGTTGACGGCCTGGCCCGCCCCCAGAAGCCCCGGCCCCGGAGGGAGCCTGGGGATGAAGAGGAAGCGGATCTGATCCAGAACTCCAGTGATGAGGAGGGCGAGGAGGGAGGGGAATTGGCCTCTGTCTCCTCCACCCCACCCATGCGGCCCCAGATCACTGACAGGTGGGCCCAGGGACCCTGGCTGGGGCCTCTGGCTTCCTACCACCCCGGGCCCCCAGACCTCACCCCCACACCCCTGTCCACCCAGAAACTACTTCCACCTGCCTTACCTGGAGCGCAAGCCCTGCGTCTACATCAAGAGCTGGTGGCCCGACCAGCGCCGGCGCCTGTACAACGCCAACATCATGGACCACATCGCCGACAAGCTGGTCAGGGCTGGGCAGGGCAGGGTGGGGTGGGAGGGGAGGGGAAGGGTGCTGTGGAAAGGCCCTCCACTGATGGAGACCCCACCCTCTCCCTATGCACACAGAGGCACATCTGGTGTTTGAGGGTGTGTGGTGGGACCCCAGCCCATTCCATTCCCCAGGAGCAGGATGAGGGGATGGGGGCTGTGAAGCCCTGGGGTCCCCTGCAGGCAGCTGCTCTGCCCCTCTGTCTCTGGCCTACACACGTGCCCCTCTGCCCTGGGTTCTTCCCAGCTGGCGCGGGGTGGAGGACACCAAAGGACCCAGAGAAGTGGGATGCTTGTTCCTGAGACCAGATGCTGGGAGGTGGGCCAGCGAGACGATTCAGGGCGCCAGGCCCTTCCTCTCCTCTGGCGTATGGAGAGGAGACATTTGGGACTCAAGGCAGCCCCGGCCCACTCTGTCTGTCGGTCTGTCTGTCTCTGTCTCCACAGGAAGAAGGCCTGAATGACGTCCAGGAGATGATTAAAACTGAGAAGCCCTACCCGGAGCGCCGGCTGCGGGGCGTCCTGGAGGAGCTCAGCGGTGGCTGCCAGTGAGAAAGGGGCCCAGGGTGGGAGGCGGTTGGACCCAGGCCTGGGCAGAGAATGAAAAACCAAGCTCATTGTCATCGAGTGGCCCTCTAGGACAGGGTAGAACTGCCCCTGTGAGTTTTCCACGGCTTAACTCTTGATGGGAGTACTAAGCCCCGTCTCTCTCTCGAGGAGCGGATGGTGGTTCTGAACTGCTGACCCTGAGGATAGCAGCCCAATGCTTTAATCACTATACCACCAGGGGTCCCAGCGCCCGGGCAGAAGAGGATATCAAAAACTTAATGTCACTACCAGAGTGGCTTCTGAATCCTCGCTGCCCTATTGGAGAGGCATCTCCGAGGCTGTAGCTCTTGACAGAAAAGTAGAAAAGCTCCTCTTTTACACAGACAGTGGTTGGTGGGTTTGAACCCCCGACCTTGTGGTTAGCAGTCCGGCCATAACCCTCTGCGCGCCCCCAGAGCTCCTTAAGAGGTCGAGCACCCACGATCAACCCGGGGTGGGTGTGGGGGGGGGCGCCTCCTCTAATCCCGCTGACACCGGCTCCCCACCCACAACTCCCCACCCACAGCCGCTTCCTGTCCCTCGCCGACAAGGACCAGGGCCATGCGTCCCGCACCAAGCTGGACCGGGAGCGCCTCAAGTCCTGCCTGAGGGAGCTGGTGAGCACCGCTGGGCAGCCTGGAGGTCTGGGGAGCAACCTGAGGCGGGAGGGACTCTGTCTCTGCCCCCCTCCGGCAGCTGAGCTCCTCTCCGGCCCCCCAGGAAAGCATGGGGCAGCAGGCGAAGACCCTTCGGGCGCAGGTGAAGCGGCACACGGTTCGAGACAAGCTGCGGCACTGCCAGAACTTCCTGCAGAAGCTCCGCTTCCTGGCAGATGAGGTGTGTGCCTAGCCCTCTGCCAGGGGTGCCTTCCCCTCCCTCCCGGAGAGGGTCTCAGCCCCAAACCCGGCTGCAAGGGAGTGGGAGGGCTCATCCAGGAGGACGGGGGGGCCTGTCCTTCACCCTGGATGTCAGGCTCCTAGCACTTGGGGACCCTGGGGGCCAGCCAGGCAGGGGGTCACAGCAAGCCCGCCCGCCACCCTGCAGCCCCAGCACAGCATCCCCGACGTGTTCATCTGGATGCTGAGCAGCAACAAGCGCATCGCCTATGCCCGGGTGCCCTCCAAGGACCTGCTCTTCTCCCTCGTGGAGGAGGAGATGGGCAAGGACTGTGGCAAGGTCAAGACGCTCTTCCTCAAGGTGCCCGGGGTGAGGGGAGGATCCTGGGGCTGCGCCAGCCTCCCACCCACCCCCAGCCCCAGGGCCTGGTGGGCCCGAGCCCGTGGGAGGCAGCAGGTTCTCAGAGACGAGCTGCTGGGTGGCCATGGGGAGGCAGCACAGAGGAGCCCTGGAGGGCGTAGGGGTGACGGGGGCGGGGAGGGGGGTCTGCTAACCTCCGGGTCTGCAGTTCGAAACCACCAGCCTGTTCCTTTGGAGAAAGACAGACCATCAAGGGTTACAGTCTGGAAAGTCGCAGCGACAGTTCGACCCTGTCCTCTGGGGTCGGCTATGAGTCAGCATCAACTCGATGGCAGGGGATGGTGGTGGTGGGTGGTGGGGGCACCCACCTGTCCACCCGCTCTGTTGGGCTGTGTCCCTCACCCCCACCACCCCTGGCCTGGCGGGATGCTGGTGCAGATGCAGGGGCAGCCCTGACGGAGACCTCCAGCAGCCCCGCTGCCCTTTCCCCTGTTGACCCTGTCCCTGTCCCCAGCTGCCGGGGAAGCGGGGCTTTGGCTCTGCGGGCTGGGCGGTGCAGGCAAAGCTGGAGCTCTATCTGTGGCTGGGCCTCAGCAAGCAGCGCAAGGACTTCCTGTGCGGCCTGCCCTGCGGCTTCGAGGAGGTCAAGGCGGCCCAGGGGCTGGGCCTGCACTCCTTCCCGCCCATCAGCCTGGTCTACACCAGTGAGTGAGGGAGGTTCACTGGCCTGGGCAGACCCCTGGAGAGCTGTGGGGACCTCCCTGTCCCCAGCCTTCAGCCCTGACATCCGCTCCCCCATCCCACCGCCACAGAGAAGCAAACCTTCCAGCTCCGGGCCCACATGTACCAGGCACGCAGCCTCTTTGCTGCAGACAGCAGCGGCCTCTCGGACCCCTTTGCCCGAGTCTTCTTCATCAACCAGAGTCAGTGCACGGAGGTGAGGGCCTGCAGGCTGGAGCAAGGTGCAGGAGGTGGCTCTGGTCCCTGCGGGGAGGGGAGGGGAGGGGAGGGTCTGGACGACCCTCCCCAGAGGAGAAGGAGCTCAGTAAAGGAGGGGTGGGGGCACAGCAGTGGCTTTGACTGAGCCGGGGACCTAGGTGGGACCTGGGGAAATCCATCAGCAAGAGCCTTGGTCCTTAGGGAAGGGTCTTGCAAAAAATAAAAAAACCAAAAGTCCAGGCCATATGGACAGAGGTCCTGGGTCTTCAGTTTAGGGGACACTCCGCCCAGAATCCCTGCATGGTACAAGCAGTTAACGGGGCTCAGCAACTAATCAAAAGGGTGGCCTTCACGCCCCGCCAGAGGCCGTCGGAAGAAAGGCCTGTGGATCCTCTTCCCAAAGAATTGACCGCTATAACCTCCCCTGTGGGGTGCAGTTCTACCCTGTCCTGCACAGGGCACCATGAGGCAGAGGCAGGCATTGGTGGGTGGGGGCTGGGGGCAGAGGCAGGCCTCAGTTCACCTCCAGGTGTCCAGAGGGTTCAGTGAGGTCCCGCATCCTCACCGCCCCTCTCCCTGCGTGTGGTAGGTGCTCAACGAGACTCTGTGCCCCACCTGGGACCAGATGCTGGTGTTCGACAGCCTGGAGCTGTACGGGGAGGCTCACGAGCTGCGAGACGACCCCCCCATCATCGTCATCGAAATCTATGACCAGGACACCATGGTATGGGCAGGCACCCTCCCCCCCCACACTGACACAGCTCCTCAGTCCTCCAGGAGCCCCCTATGTGTCCCCTTCCCTGTCCCTGTCACCTGACCCCGGGGGCTTCTGCAGTCACAGGGAGGAGACAGGCCAGAGGGCCCCTACCTCCTAGCACAGGCAGACTGAGCTTGGGCCCTGAGTGCAGGAGGGCAGCACCCCAAGGGTCCCCACACCTATCACAGTCAGCACAACCTCACAGGTCTCTAAGGGAAGCTGTGGAGTGGGGCAGGGGGCGATGGATCAGGGTGACCCCTCAGGAGTTAAGGAGTCACCTTACCACCAACCACTTCAGCTCTCGAGGTGCTCTGGACTAAGGATAAGCCAAAAGCCACACTCACCGCCGTGGAGTCAACTGTGTGTGACTCGCGGAGACCCTACAGGACAGGGTAGAGCTGCCCCTATGGGTTTCTGTGACTGTAGCTCTTTACGGGAGTCGAAAGCCCCATCTTTCTCCCGCAAAGTGCCTGGTGGTTTCAAACTGCTGACCTTGTGGTTTGCAACTGAATGCATAATGCACTCCACCACCAGGGCTCCTTTGGATGGGGGACGTGGGGGGTGGGGGGGGAAGTGGGGAGTCAGAAGGATCTCATTTCAGTTTCTGCATGGCAAGTCTCTGGTGCTGCCAGGCACTCGGTCTCCCCATCTGTAAACGGGTGATCACTGTAGCCTCTTGCAAACAGTCCCCAGGGCTGTGGTGAGGGGCGGGTGAGACCAGCGGCATGAGCATGCCCGGTGAACGGAAGCCCCAAGCGATTGTCTGCTGTACCAGGGCAAAGCCGACTTCATGGGCCGGACCTTCGCCAAGCCCCTGGTGAAGATGGCAGATGAGGCCTACTGCCCACCCCGCTTCCCGCCACAGCTAGAGTACTACCAGATTTATCGCGGCAATGCCACCGCTGGAGATCTGCTGGCTGCCTTCGAGCTGCTGCAGGTGGGGTCCCCCGGGCACCTAGACCAGTGGGCAGCCTCGGGGCTTCTGGGCCCTTGGCTTTCCCTGCCACATGGCAGATGGCTGTCTGGAGAAAGAGCTTCTTTTCCTGGGTTTCCCAGTGCATAAGTGAATCTGTGGCCCCTACTCCCCAGATTGGGCCAGCAGGGAAGGCTGACCTGCCCCCCATCAATGGCCCGGTGGATGCAGACCGGGGCCCCATCATGCCCGTGCCCATGGGCATCCGACCTGTGCTCAGCAAGTACCGGATCGAGGTGTGTATGTGTGTCCCCCGCCCCCCCCACAGCCAGGCCTCTGCTGCCCCGGCTGTCCCTCACTTCCGCCCAGTCCAGGCACAGGACACTGAGGGCAGGCAGAACCCCGGAGCTGCAGGGATCCTCAGCTCTCTCAGTGCCCCTCATTTTCTCAGATAAGGAGCAGAGGGTACAGGAGGGCAAGGGACTAGCTCGTGACCAACCACAGCCTGGGGGTCAGCAGCAGGCCAGGTCCCTGGCCAGCCTCCGGTGGTCACAGTGCCTTCCCCCAGGGCCTTCCCTGTCCCCCCACCCCCATGCCACCTTCACCCTGCAGGCTCAGCCTTAGAAGCTTGGGGACACCCACCCCTTCTGCTACTGCCCTGAGCCTCCCTCCTACCCCCCCCAAGCCAGCTTCCTTGCCTGATGGGCTCTCCCCATATACACCCCCCAACACACACCGCACCCCACCCAGGTGCTGTTCTGGGGCCTGAGAGACCTGAAGCGGGTGAACCTGGCCCAGGTGGACCGGCCACGGGTGGACATCGAGTGTGCAGGGAAGGGGGTACAGTCGTCCCTGATCCACAATTACAAGAAGAACCCCAACTTTAATACCCTTGTCAAGTGGTTTGAAGTGGTGAGTGTGGGCCCACAGCTGGGCGGGGGTGGGGGTGGCGGTTGTTTCAAGAGCTCTTCTCCAAGCCTCAGGTCCCCCCTCTCCACACTGCCAGGACCTCCCTGAAAACGAGCTTCTGCACCCGCCCCTGAACATCCGCGTGGTTGACTGCCGGGCCTTCGGCCGCTACACCCTGGTGGGCTCCCACGCCGTCAGCTCCCTGCGGCGCTTCATATACAGGGCCCCAGACCGCTCGGCCCCCAGCTGGGACACCACGGGTACGGCCACAGGCCAGCCCAGCAGAGGGGCACCACCAGGGGAGCATGGGGAGGGCAGTTGCCCAGAGCTGCCCTCACCTAGAACCAGGGCTGGAGATGTCCTCTGAGACCCCACTCCCAGTCTGGCCTCCCTGTCCCCTCCCCTGCAGCTCACCTCTCCCTCACTGACTGATGCCCCTCCTCCTTCTGGCCACGTGCTTCCCATTCCCTTCAAAGGCTCCCTCCTCCCCCTTTCCCTAGAAGGCTCTAGAACCAGCCTTACAACTCTGGTCCTTTTGGCACCCTTGATTCTCACTGTCATTCTTGCCTCTCCCTCCGTCTCTCTGCCTGTCTGTCCATCTCTCTGGCCACCCTTGACTCTGTCATTCCTGCCCCTCCCTCCATCTGCCTGCCTGTCTGTCCATCTCTCTGTCCAGTCAGGCTTCTCCCGGGCTGCCGTGGGCTGTGCAATGGGGCCCCCTCCTGTCGCCCCACAGGGGAGGTCGTGGTGAGCATGGAACCCGAGGTGCCGGTCAAGAAACTGGAGACCATGGTGAAGCTGGACGCGGTAAGGAGGGCGGTCCGTCCCGAACCCGTGTGCATGTGACTCCGCCGTGAAAGGGCAGTTTGACACCAACTGCCCTGGGCCTGGTGCTGAGGGCTGGACCTCACCACACGTGCCAACAACTCCATCCTGACTCTGCCGGGGAGCCTGCTGGTCGGGGTGCACAGAGCCTCCCGGCTTCAGGTCTTCAGCAGGGCAATAGAACAGTACTGGTCCCACTCTCCCCAAACTCCATCCAGCCCACTGTCCCAAGGGCCCAGCTTGGCTAGAGCCGGGGAGTCTCGCCATTGTTGCCCTCGGCTACGTAACTCGTGTGTGTGTGTGTGTGTGTGTGTGTCCCTCTGTGGGTGACCGTGGTCTTGAGGTCTGGGTGATGAGAGGTGACAGAGCAGGGAACCGCCCATTCGATAGCATGCTCTTCTGCTTCCTGACACCCCCTGGGGGCAGCAGCCCTCTTCCCACGCCCCTGGCCCCCCATTTCCGTACATCCTGCTTTCCTGTCTCTTCTGCCTCCTGAGCTTGGTTTTGGGGTGCAGTAGGGTCGCTTGTGCTGAGGAGCATGCTCCGGGAAGACATTACGGTTCCCTTGAGAGCCCTGTCTGTTGTTTGGCTGACGGATCGGCAGAACTTTTCCAGCTGCCTGCCCCGACTGGCCCTGCGGAGGGGAGATCGGGGAACATGGCTGGCAGACTGTCCAATGGTTTGAGGGAACTCCGGCTGCCGGCCCTGTCCGGCACGCCTCCTCCACCCTGGTGCTCTGTGAGATCACCCAAGAAGTACCAGTGCCTAGCACCTACTCTGATGCCAGGGAGCCCCATCCTGGCAAAAGCTCCCAAATGATCCTCACACCAAGGTAGGTGGAAAGATGCCGCTCTAGAAGGCCCTCGGGAACATTGAGACACGTCTGTGAACCAGCATGTCCGCAGGCTCACCAAGCAATGTGCCGTTGACGGGACAAAGCTGATCGTGTGAGCACGGAGCTGAGAGCACACTCTTCTGCATATTGTGTGCACACGTGTGTGTGTGTGTGTCCCTCCTCCCCTCACTTCACTTTGGCCAAGCCCCACCCCCACCCCCACCCCTGCCTACCACTTCAGGCCCCAAGAGCTTACTCTGGCCCTGTCTCTCTGGTCCCCTCTGCAGATGTCTGATGCCGTTGTCAAGGTGGATGTGGTGAGTGTGGGACTGGTCTGGGGTGAGAGGGACCGATATGGGTGTCTGGTGACAGCATCCCTGGCTGACCCCGCCCCCTTCCCCACACCCGCACCCCTAGAGGGGGTGGGCAGGCAGCTGGGCCCTGACACCCTGTCCTGCCTTGGCCACACACAGGCTCACGCTTGGCAGGTCACAACCCTCTGTGGGCCGGGGCATCCTCCTCCGGTCAGCAAGATCCTGGGAGGGGCCGGGGTGCAGGCTTCGGGGCCTGGTCCACCTGGCTGTCCCTCCCACAGGCTGAGGAGGAGAAAGAGAAGAAGAAGAAGCAGAAGAAGGGCACAGCTGAGGAGCTGGAGGAAGAGGAGCCGGACGAAAGCATGCTGGACTGGTGGTCCAAGTACTTCGCCTCCATTGACACCATGAAAGAGGTGAGGCGCAGGTGGGGGAGGCCAGCCTGGAGGAGGTGGCCTCCCACCCGCTCTCAGACCCTCCTGTCCAGCCCCCTTCTCACCCACTGCTGCCGCCCCCACCCCCACTGACGGGAGCTAGGAGCAGCCTTGCCTCACACCCTGAATGTTCTAATTCAGAAGTCCCTTTGTCCGCAATGCCCGTAAGCATTACATCCCGATTATAAGCTCCAGGAAGTGCGTCCCCCTCCCTTTTGTTTGTCTCATCACCAAGCTCTTTGTCCACCTCGCTCAGGGCACTGCCTGACTGACCAAGGGACCCATAGGGCTGTGTGCCCACAGCTGTGATTCCTTGGCCAACAGGGTAGAACTTTCCCTATCGGTTTCTGAGTCAGGAGTAGAAAGATTTGTCTTTCTCCTGCAGAGTGGCCGGTGGTATCGAACTGCTGACCTTGTGGCTAGCAGCCCAACTTGTAACCACTCCTTCGAAACTACCAGCCACTCCTCAGGAGCAAGACGAGGCTTTCTACTGCCCCTCAGGGTCCCCAGGAGTCGGAATCGACTCTAGGGTGGTGGGTGGGTGAGAGGGTGGTGGGTGGTGGTGCATTGGTTGAAACCTTGCGATCGGTGAAAAATGTATGTACAGCACATTCTTGGTCAGTTATAACTTTCTACGTAACACATTTTTAATAATATAACTATGAATTCACTTTAGAGGGGGCACTCTAGTTTTACATGATGCACAATTTTTTAAAAGTCACAAATCCTTAAGTATGCTTAATCACACTTGACACGTCATAAGCTTTTCAAAACCCCACTTAATGTATCTGATGGGTCTGAAACGTAATAGGAAAATATGCCTGGTTCTAGTGCACTTATGAGAAGCCCTGGTGGCACAGTGGTTGCATGCTGGTGCAATTCGAAACCACCAACGGCTCTGAGGGAGAAAGACGGGGCTTTCCACTCCCTTAAAGAGTTATTTATCGTCTCGGAAACTAAGAAGGGCAGTTCTGTCCTGTCCTATTGGGTCACTGAGTCAGGCTCGACCCGATGGCAGTGCCCAAGACCAGGGTCAGGAGGTCAGAAAGCCTCTCCCCAGGAACTCTCTCTGCCCTCCTCTTGAGCCACCTCATCTTTTGACAGCAACTCCGTCACCAGGAGGCCTCGGGCGTTGACATGGAGGACAAGGAGGAGATGGATACCACTGAGGGTGAGCCTGGGGTCTGGAGCTCAGCTTCCGCTCACACCCCCAATGGGTCCCCTGCCTCCCACAGCTACCTGCTTCTCGCCTCCCTCTCTGGGCCCCTCCCTGCAGCCATCGCTGCCCCGGAGCCAGGGCCTCTGGGCACCGGGGGCAGCTCAGAGCCCCATCTGGAGGGGCTTCCATTCTGACTCGCTCAGCAGCTAGTGATGGACAGACAGGTGGACCTGCAGCACAGCATTCCAAGTCCTTCCAGCGTTTTCCACACCTTTTCCCATCGAACACCATTCATGGGTGTCAGAGAGGGAAGGGGGGAAATGTTGGCATACACCAAGTTGAATGGGCTGCTTGGCTGCGGGACTCCTCTGAGCTTCTCAGAAGCACATGAACATGACAAAGCTCTCAGAGGAAGTGCCAGGGTGCAGACGGTTAATGTGCTCAACTGCTCGCCAAAAGGTTGATGGATCAAGTCCACCCAGGGGCTGCTCCTCAAGCAGGCCTGGCCATCTTCCTCCCAAGCAGTCC